GATAGAGGGAGGGGAGAGAGAGCGAGAGCGAGAGCGAGAGCGAGAGGAGAGAAGAGAGAAGAAAGAGAGAGAGAGAAGAGAGAACGAGAGAGAGAGAAAGAGAGAGAGAGAGAGAGAGAGAGAGAGAGAGGAGAGGGGGGAGTAAGAGAGATGAAGATAGAAATGAGAGAGAAGAGAGAGAAGAGAGAGAGAGAGAGAGAGGAGCGACAAAGAGAGGAGAGAGAGAGTAGAGAGAGAGAGAGAGATGAGAGAGAGAGAGAGAGGCAATAACAGAGACAGACGCCGACAGACAAAAAGATGGGAAAGACCACGGGTGATGAGGGAGAGTGAGAGTACAAGAGAAAGAGAGGGGGAGGGGGAGAGCGAGAGAAAATGAGAAAGCGAGAGAGAGAGAGAGAGAGCGGAGAAAGAAAAAGAGAAGAGATGAGACGAGAAGAGGAGAGAGAGACGAGAGAGAGAAGAGAGAGAGAGAGAGAGAGAGAGAGAGAGCGCGCGCGCGGAGAAAGAATGAGAGCGCGCAGAGAGAGGAGAGTAGAGAGAAGGCGGAGCTGCTGGGTAGTTGCCTCTATAGGCTGAATGCGAAACCTCGATCAATATCGCTATAGAAACCGAAACAGAGAGCGAGACGCGAAGAGAAAGAGAAGGGGGGGGGGGTAAGAGAGAAAGGGGGAAAGAGAGCGAGCAGGAGAATGTGAAAGAAAGAGAGAGAGAGCGGCAGAGGAAAAGAAAAAAGGGCGTAAGTGTGAAAGAGAGCAAGAGAGAAGGGAGAGCAAGAGGAGAGCAGATGCGAGAGAGAGAGAGCGAGAGAGAGCGTGAGAGCGAGAGGGAGAATGATAAAGATAGAGAGCTGGATATATATATATTATATATATATATATAAAAGGAATGAGAGGCAGGAGGATCAAGAAGAAGAGAGAAAGCCGACACGCGAAAAGAGAGGTGAGAGAGGAAAGACGTAAGAGAAAAATCGAGGGCAAACGAGATGGGATATAGAAAGGTTGATGGGCGAGATGCGTCCCAGAGAAAAATTAAATAAAGAAATCACGGAAGCGACAGCGCGCGCAAGAACGTAAAGGGGGGATGAGCTAAATGCAGCGGATCCGACAGCGACAGGATGAGATAGAGACAGTGTGTATGTGTGTATGTGTGTGTGCGAAGGGGGGGGGACCGTGCCGTGAGGAAAGAGGAGAAAAAGAGACAGACACAACGCACACATAATAGAGAGGAGAGGGAAGCGGAGTCGGGGAGTGGTAGCCGGCTACTCATAGTCTGTAGTCTGCACTTAACCCGCGGCCCTAATTCTGTTCTCTTTCATCCACAGTCGGCAATTTCCTCGTGCTCTCATCTCTCTCTCCGTCTCTCTCTCACTCTCTTCATGCTTGACTTCTTGCTGCTCTATCGTAGACTCTCAGAAACAAGCGAGAGAGAGAGAGAGACGAGCTACTCTCACTGGGAGAGACGGGCAGTATGAAACGTCACTGAAGCAGAAGGACGTACGAGAGAATGCGGGGAGAAAGACAGATCGGGTTCGAAAGCAATCGAACTGAGTAATACATTCGGAGTGGCGAAGTCAAGAGATGTGGGTAGAGTGCGAATGTAAAGTGCGCTTCGTACTCTCAGGAGTACAAGGAAGAATGGGGTACCGGATGGCTTGAAGATTTCCCTCATCTCCATACTTCCGGAAGATCAACATAAGAAAGTGTAAGAAAGAGCTGAGATAGGAGAGTAGTATTTGAAACAGGGCAGAGAGAGAGAGAGCGAGGATGCCGAAGAGAGAGAGTAGAGATGAGAGAGAGAAGTCAGAAGAAGAGAGAGAGCGAGAGAGAGCGAGAGAGACCGAGAGAGAGAAAGCGGAGAGAGACGAGAGCCCCGAGAGCGAGAGAGAAGAGAGAGAGAGAGAAAGAAGAGAGTAGAAAGAGAGAGACGAGAGCGAGAGCATGAGAGAGAGAGCAGAGGAAGAAAGAGAGAGAGGAAGAGAGAGAGAGAGAGAGAAAAAAGAGAGAGAGAAAGAGAGAGTAGGAGAGAGAGAGAGAATAGTGGACAAGAGAGCGATAGGCGAGCGAAGAGAGAGAGAGTGATGAGAGAGAGAGTACAAGCAGAAGAGAGAGCAACGAGAGAGCGAGAGAGACGCAGAGAGAAAGCGAGTCGAGATGAGAGAAAAGAAAGAGGAGAGGGAGACGGGGCGAAATCAATAAAAGGATCAGTGGGACGACATACAACATGACTGATCAGCGGGGGTGGTGAAGCGAGAGAGAGAGAGACGAGAGAGAGAGAGAGAGAGACGAGAGAGAAAGAGAGCGGAGAAGCGAGCAGGAGAGCAGAGACGAGAGTAGAAGAGAGAGAGCAGAGAACTAAGAGCGACGCAGCTGAGAGCGAGAGGCGATCAGAGAGAGAGAAGCAGAGATGAGAGAGTCAGAGAGAGAACTCTCTCTCTCTCTCTCTCTCTCTCTCTCTCTCTCACTCTCTCTCTCTCTCTCTCTCTCTCTCTCGCTCTCTCTAT